TTCCAACCTAAAGGATTCTATGAACTACAGTTATTTTCTTATTCATCCTGGATTGGTCATGTTCTTTTATTTATATAGATATATAAAATGTATATATTCTCTCTCCTGTGTATATGCACACTATATATTGTTACTTTTTAAAACAAATATTTTGCTAAGGTAGAGGCTAACAGACATAACTTTAAGCTTTGCCTGTGTAAGAATGTCTCATTAAAAATGTATGTTCTTTGTCTTAAAAAGCACCTTTTTCTCTGCTCCACAGAGATCTGTTAGTTTCTCACATTCAGTTCACTTTTTGACCTGCTTACATGGTATTAATTTTGTCAGATTTTAAATGGATTTATGGTCAGGGTTTTTTTTGTTCATTATTTTATGATCAGCTTATCCTTTCCTCCTTCCTAGGTGCCAGATACCATGCACTGCTGATTCCAAACTGCCCTGGGGCTGTGACTGACCTTGCAAACAGTGGGTACCTGGCGAGGATACTGCAGCACTTCTGCACTGAGAGCAGTAGGTGAACATCACTGGGTGTGCTGTGAAATAAGAGTGGTACCATCTTCCTCCTGGAAGATTTGCCTTCCAACAGCTTAAAGGTGTTTATGTAGTTGAAGAGCTGCTTTAGAGAAATGTATCTTCTCTTTAAAAGTATCTTTTTTATGTAAATATGTGTTTTTAAAAAAACAGCAGCTTTTCAGTGCTGGTCAGAAGTGGGTTCTCTGATGAGCAATGGTGCAGAAATTCCTCTCTCCAGGTCAGTCCAATTCTAGGCTCAGAGCCAAGAGTGGAAGGCACCAGGATCATCATTAAGGCTGCAGTTAATCAATACTTTTATGAGCTTCTCATTTACAGGCCAAGTATTTGTTTGATGCTGTCTCTGGACTTGGAGTTACCAGCTGATAACTTTGCAAGTTTAGGGCAATTTTTATTGTAGTGTGTAGGAAAAACCTTACAGCCTATGAATGAAAGAATAAAGAGTGCAGTGTAATTTTAGCTCCCATGAACACTCCCCTGGATTTTGGCTGTTTGAAGATGCTGACAGCTGCTCAGAGGTGCTTTGGTTTTTCTCTAGAGCCCATCTGTGCAGTTGGACATGGAGTTGCAGCTTTGTGTTGTGCCACCAACGAGGATAAGTCCTGGGTGTTCCAGGGATACAGCCTGACTGGGGTAGGTTGAGCTTCCACCTGATTTTTGCTGGTTTTGGGGCCTTCTTGCTGGGTGGGCCCTGTGGCTCCAGGTGCTGGTGTTTCTGCTCTTAGTCTGGAATCTTCTAGCCAGCAGTTTGGTACCTTTGGTTGATGTGCAGAGGTGTGGGGAGTTGTCATTGGCAAGGGGAGCCTAAAACTGAGTATTTGGAGGGATTGTCTCACTTAGGCAAGTGAGAGTTATTCTCCTGATAGTCCAGTGAACATTAAACTGAATCACTAAAACACTGGAAATGACTCCTCCAGGTCTTTGGAGTCACAGTCAAGGGCTTTTGATAGTGACTTTAAGTTTCATGAATGCTGGAGGTAACTGGAAATGACTCCTCCAGGTCTTTGGAGTCATAGTCAAGGGCTTTAAGTTTCATGAATGCTGGAGGTAAGTTGCATTTATCAAGGTCCTCACTCAGTTTAAAAGGTAGAGGAAGGTTTGAGGGGGGGGAAAAAAAAGGCAGTGTGTACAAACTGAGTTGTAATTCAAAAAGCAGCCAGCTACTGTTGATGCTTTATGGGATGTACAGTCATACCTCTGGCCTCACAGACTGTTTGTGCCTGTTGTACCTGTGTGCCAAAATGAAAAAAAATAGAACTTGGAGGGTCAAAAGTTTTACATGCAGAGTTGAGAAATGAAGTTTATTGGAGTCAGAGCTATCCATGTCCTGATGTGCCTGTATTTGGCATTATAATCCATGAGAAAACCTTTTAAATAAGGCCTGAAGTGGTCTGGCTGTAGTTGCTATGAAAACCACCAAAGTCCCTTTCCCCCTGTGCACATGGGAACTGAACTGAGTACTCTGAATTTCTCTCTTTGAGCTGTTTGCCATATTCCTTCTGTTATTTAAACTCTGCAAATGACACTGTGTCCAAATTTTCATGTCCAGCAGCCAAATGAGTTCCTGATTCCATGAAGTTGGTGGCAGATGTGCAGACACTGCCTTGTGTCAGTCTTTTTATCTCATGTAAGAACTTTCATTTTGATCTTTACAGATAATCCCCAGAAGCTGCTTGTGGCCATTTTGATTTTTGGCCTCATTTCTGCTTCATTTCCTGTATTTAATTGGGAGAACTGTAGCAGGAACAGAAAAATAAATTGCAGGAGGAGGTGTGTGTTGGTTTTGCTTGGCTTTTTGTATAAAAAGCAAGACAGATTTCCTTCCTTTTCATCTTTTTCAGCCCTCTGTGTATGAACTAGTAAGGCAGCCAAACTTTGCCAGCTTGTCCATTATCGTGGAGGATTTTGTGAAAGACTCTGGAGCTACATTTAGTGGTATGTCACTCTTGTCATCCAGGACTTTGTCTTTTGTGGCTGCATTTTGGGAACCTGATGTTTGGGTACCAATTTTACCCAGCTGAATGAGCAGCTGACAGGATTTCTCATCTTGTGTTCCTGTTTTGGGGATGTAAACAAATACCCAGTGGGTTAAAAACTGCTGTGGCAAGGAGCCTGTGCTCTGCCATAGGGGTTCAGTTCTGGATTTTGGGGTTGTCTTTTAGTCAACCAAATGCTTTATTAAAGCTGGAAGCATTAAACTGAATGATTTTGGTTGTTCTGATTATCTTTTACCATGAAGTATTTTACTTGTAGTGACATCTGGGTTTGGAGAATTTTGTTTTGTTACTAACAATTATTGTTTGGTCAAACTGTAGAAGTTGGATTTTGAACTGCAAAATGTCTTTTACCACAAAGTATTTTACTTGTAGTGAGATCTGGGTTTGGAGAATTTTCTTGTTTTGTTACTAACAATTATTGTTTGGTCAAACTGTAGAAGTTGGATTTTGAACTGCAAAATGTGAAGTTCTGCCCTGTGAGAAATGAAATCCATCTGAGCACAGAGGTGTCACTTTTTTCCTAGATTATTTCTGGAGGTGCAGGGAGCAGATTCCCTCAGGTGCTGCATTCTTGCACTGCTGCAGAGCTACAGGCAGAGAGTTGAATAATGAGCTGTAAGGGGCCCTGTTCTTCAGCTGCAGCTGCTGCTTGGCCTCCTTTTCTGTTAGGCCTTTTTTTAAGGGCAGATTCTAAAGAGGATCAGGAGATGCTTGTGGTATCAAAGCCATCCCTTATTTACCAGTGCCACCCACTGAACTGGGACACTCTGGAGTGACTGGATTAGAGACCCTGCCCAAGGCGTGGGTGGGAGGCAGAACCAGGCCCCTAATGCCACACATCTATTTTTGACCAAGTAGAAATGCCCTTGTGGTACTAAATCATTGTCTGTTCCTCACTTAATCCTCTTCCATCCGTGCTGCTGTCAGCTTGTGTCTTTAAATGGCATTTTGATGCTTTTGGAGCAAGCTGCTGCCCTCAGTGGTACCTGTTACCTCACTTATTGCTGCTTGCAGAGGTGCTGACAAATGAAACAAAAGTTTGGGGGGTTTGAAGGCACTTCCAGCCTGTGTTTGGACAGTCAGTGGCTGGGAGAGGGAGGAAAAAAGAGGTAGTTGGTCATTGCTGACAGAATAATGGCTTTATTTGGGATGAGGCACCTTAAAAATATCAGTTGCAGCCCTGACCAGTTGCTGGTGGATGGTAACACTTTGGGGTGGTCTAATTGGTCAGAGAATAAATATCTTCCTGCAGGCTTTGTGGCATGGTGGCTACAGGAGAAGGGTTCAGGGTATTTACAGCTTTAAGTGAGCTACTTTGGAGTATTTGTTAAGAAAATGTTTCTTAAAATATTTAAGAAAAAATATTTAATTTTTTTCTTTGATCTATGCACTTTACCCATCTGATGTTAACTGGATCCGGGGACCCGTCTGTCAGAGAGACTTTCTAGTGAGATTTTGAGGCTTTTGGGACTGAGATTGGCACTCCCTGGGTTTATAGATCAGCACACGAGTCACTCAGCAAACTGTCTGATCAAAATACTTGTGGTTTTGTCAGTTTTGCCAGATGTGGGAGCATCTCCTAACACAGTGCTTGTTCCCTTTTCTCCTGTGTTCAGCCAGCAGCCCAGATGCTGTGCACGTCGTGCTGGACAGGCACCTGGTGACAGGGCAGAATGAGAACTCCACTCTCCCTGCAGTCCAGAACCTCCTCATTCTTTGCAATGTCAGGTGAGGCAATGGGAGAGACAGGAGCTAGGAGCAGGTGGTGGTGAGCACCTCTTAGAATTAGGAATATTATACCCTAAAATAGTTTGATTTCTTCCTTGGTCAGCTGCTGAAGTGTCATCTCTGAGTTATTCAGTCAGTGATGTCTTTTGGTAAAAGCATTGGTGACTCTCAAAAAAAGAAGGTAAAATGGCTTGAGAAGTGCCCACCTCTGAGGGTGGCTGGAGTCATCTCTGATTGAGTTATTCAGTGATGTGTTTTGGTAAAAAGCATTGGTGATTCTTAAAAAAAGAAGGTAAAATGGCTTGTGAAGTGCCCACCTCTGAGGGTGGCTGGAATAAAAAGCAGAACAGGCTTTGCTGAGCATTTCTGTTGAGAGAAACATCTCCCATGTGTCATTCTTTGTGCTTTGGCAAGCTGGTGTTTAGTCAGTGTGGTTTAGGATTGTGGGAATCAATGGATTTAATTTCTTTGGGCATGTCTTGGCTGTTTGACTGTTTCACCTGGTTGGAAGAACCACAGAATAACCACAAAACTCTTCTCTTGTTCAGGTGAATGTGTGACAGATCCTTTCCTGGCTGTGGACTAACAGATGGTGTCATGTTTGGATGTGTTTCCTTCAG